ATGGATACCTCAAAAGCTCATAACAAAACGATTAACTGAGTCCATATTTCGGTATGTAGAATTTACGTTCCTAGGTCAGGAACACGCAATTTGCGGGAAATGAAAGCAAATACAAATCCAAATAATGCGGTCCCATCTGATGGACATCCCAGGGCATTCGAAATGTTTATACCACCAAAAAGTGCCAATTATAAATTGCCGAACAAATGAAATTTACAGTAAAAAAAATGAAATGTGTTTCTTTAGCAAATAATCTGCGTGACGGACTGCAGGACGAAAAAACAAAGTAGCAGTATGGGAGAAAACAAAAACCAAGGAAGCAATTAGTACAAAAATACTGTATTGCAGAGGTGTTCCAAGATATAATTGGGCTAATCAACGAAAACTGAATCGCTTCGAAATTAGCTAGCTTTCGCAGGCTCTGGAGTACCACGGGCTGTTTTTTTTTTGTATACCACAGCTTTTGCAGTAAAATTCAACTTCCCATGTCCACTCATTAAAGACCATAGCAGTATGGCGGGAATGTCGCCGATGCATGTCAGGACGAATCTTCAGTCTTTCGATCAGACGCTACGATTGTCCGGAATCGTGGGTAAGTGCATGTCAAGGCGAACAAAATCATCTTCAGACCTACGGCCAGACGCTGCAGTTGCCCGGAAACCTCGGCTGGTCGTTTCGGCAGCTGAATTTTCGCTGAATGCCTCTTTTACAAAACCCCAATCTTACTGAACAGAAAAGAGAAACCAGAAAAAAAAAACCAAAAAGATCCATATAAACAAACAGCGCTGCGCATCAGTTCCAAAGAAACAAAAAAAAAAAAAAAAAACAGTCATATTTAGACTCTTCGTCAGATGTCATAGTTGTGCTAGATTTTTTGTGAACCACTGCCACAAGCACAGCGAAAAACCAGCAACTTCCTTCAAAATCCAGAGAAATAATGTCATGAAGAGTAAGCGTGTGATAACACTTAATTTCAATTCTTAAAGTTTTGACGTCCCTCCTGCATTTTTCCCGCAAATCCTTCCCCCAATCAATGACAAAAATATGCGGTACTCCACTGAGAACGTAATATATCGTTTTTCATAGAAGGTCATCGCTGATTCGCTGGCTTATGAGAAGCAAAAAATCAGAAAAAAAAAAACACCGGAAACAGTGTGGCCTGACCCAAAAAGAAAAAAAAAAAACGAAGGAGAAATTACTCAACAGTAAAACCATATAGCACTTCAACAAACAAACTGTGGAAAAATTAAAAATTCAAGTAAAAATTTTTCAAAATGAAGACATACTATAGCAGCTACTACTACTAATATAAATGATAAAAAAAATTTAAAAATAACTGAATGATCTTTACTCAGCACATAAATTTGTATGAATTTATGCCTTAACAACGTATTTCGGCACTTTCACATCTTGTCAAGCGTTGCCGAATAAGGCAAAAAGCAGGTCCCTTTCAAGAAAGTTAGAGAAAGAAAAGAAGAAAATCAAAAATGATGATTCGGAAAAATAAAACAACACATAAATTTGGAACTGTAGAAAATGGTGCACGAAAAATGTGCGTCCCACTGACTTAGTCGAGCAAAAAATGATTCAAAAAATTTTTCTAAAAAACCAAAAAAGTGCAATAATTATGACAGAGAAGTAAAATTCAACTGTAAACCCACATGCAAACAAAAAAAC